AGCATGGTGGGGGCATAAATGTATTTGTCAGATTGCTAAACAACATAACCTATCAATCTAGCATCTGGCAATAAGCCATTTAATTTAACTTTAATGATTTACTAAGAACAATTTATTTGATTTACAACTGGCTGTTACTTTTACAAGGTTATATTGAAATTTCAAGTTCAACAGATTTGCAGTTGTATCCTGTGCTCATATTAATAGGTTAGCTGACTTATATTTATCAAGTACAAATGTATTTTTTTAATTGTATTAACATAGAAGGTTTGTTCAAAGAGGAAGTTTGATGGTTGTTTTCATTTCTTTCCCAATTAATTTTTTTAAATCACTATTCATCTACATTATCTCCTTAAATACTCAAATACTTCCTGTATCTTGGGATAAACGTATTGGTGCTGGTAAGTATGTATTATTAAAAGCAGTGGTCTTCTCTTATAGCATCACTGCTTCTTCACTTTCCTTCCCGGAATTTTTATTCTACTTTTACAGACTTTGTGAATTGATTTTCTCTTAAAAACTTCAAGAAGCTAAGGGCAAATATCTGCACAAGAGCCACTATTTTACATTTTAAAATATCACAACACATACTTTAGGGACTCCATGCCAATGAAAAGAATCTATTTTAAACTAAGAATACTCCACCAAGGCATATATACAAGAAACCAGTAAGTATGTACACACAAACACAGACACAGACAGAAAGATAGAGAGAAATAGCCTGCCCTAGGAATAAATGGGTATATTTTCTCCTAAATTAGACTGTTTTAACAGATGAAAAAAACTGATTAAAGAGAGCAGTAACTAAGGTGGGCAAGAAACCAGTTTGAAACAATATTGGGGAAAAGTCACTGAATAAAAACTAACTCTGTAGATATCTGAAATCCACCTTTAAGGATACTGTCAGATGATGTCTGAAATCAGCCCCTATGTTCAATAGTTGAAATAAGCAATTCTAAATTCAAAGCTATTTACTGGCAGAAGACGCTCTAGAGATTGAGGCAAATCTTGTCATTTAATAAAGAAAGAAAAGGAGCCTCTGGGCAGTTAAGTGGCTGATGGATCAGAAGCTACGGCCTACCCTCTCCACCTCACCCTGCGTCTTCCATGGCAACCATTTCTCATTGTAAGGAGTTAGGGAAGGAAGTGTCTCAAAAAATTTGGCTGCCTGTTTTTAAAAATAAAGTTTTTAAGGAACACATTCACTTACTGCATTCATGCTACAAGAAAACAGTAGTTGTGAAAGACACTTTAAGGTCTATAGCTTAAAATACTACCTGGTTCTTCAGAGAAAAAAGTTTGCTGATTTCTACATTACAGATTTCTTAACATACAATCAGAAGTTTCAGAAATTAATACATAGTAAGTACAGCTGATCCTTGAATGACATGGGTTTGAACTGTGTGGGTCCACTTTTATGTTTATTTTCTTCCATCTTTGCCACCTCTGGGACAGGAACACCAGCACCATCTCTTCTTTTTCCTCCTTAGTCAACTCAACATGAAGACAATGAGGATAAAAACCTTTATGATGATCTACTTCCACTTAATGAATATTAAATATATTTTCTCTTCCTTCTGATTTTCTTAATAAGATTTTATTTTCTCTAGCTTACTTTATTGTAAGAATACAGTATCTAATATACATAACATACAAAACACATATTGACTGTTTATGTTATTTGTAAGGCCTCCAGTCAACAACAGGCTATTATTAGTGGTCAAGTTTCTGAGTAATCAAGTTATGTAAGGATTTTCAACTGGACAGCGGGGGTCAGGGACCCAACTCCAGCATTGTTCAAGCGTCACCTGTATATATAACAGGCTGTAATAAATAGTACTATAACCAGAAAAGAATAGCAATCATCTTTAAAAGTCTCCATTTTTTTTCCCAGCAAAGAATGATTTTCCATGTTCCATGCTTTGAAATGTAAAACTTTGAGAAAATCTGTAAAACTTGGAAACTTCTAGGAGAAATTAAAATCTGATCAAACTGAAAAAGAACCCATATAACATTCCTTTAATAGAATACTCCTCATCTACAGAAATATATTTATAGATCATTGATTACTGGAGAGATAACCTAGTACATAAATCTAAACTAAGTGAATTAAATAGAAATGTCCAATGAATGACAAGAGTATTTTAGAAAAAAACAAAGTTTACACACAATTTTCTACTGGTATATCATAAGCATAAAAGAGAGAGATATATTTAAATATCAGTGCCTTATTAATCACTTTATTCATTACATTTTTAGGTTTTACCTTTCTCCTCCTAGGAAAAAAAAAGTAAGCCTAGCTCCCACTGACCGAATTAATAGATGCTGGAACACTACAAAAATGTAAACCACAATGAGACTTAGGTATAAACAAAATACAATGTAAACAAAAGTAGTAGCACTACTCAAGGAAAGCAAGCTTACAGAAGGAAGAAGTTGCTAACTAGAAACTAACAAATCAATGAAAGCTATTAATTCCCTAGTTAACATAGTATAAGATTAAATACAAACACATAGTATGAGATGAGGGAAGCCAGGATAATTCATTATAAAATTATGTAGAATGTATAACAGCACTTTAAATTACAATAAGAAAGGAACATGAAGACATATATGTCAAATTGAAATACACACACACACACACACACACACACACACACACACACACACACACAGCTTGAAACCAGAAGACCTGGGTTCAAATTCCTGAGCTGTCAGCAACTGTTAACACTGAACAAGTCACCTTTGAGTGACTTTACAGAATTTAGTATACTTAAGGGATTTAAATAAATATGGTTCCTTCCAACTGCCAAAAAATTCATAATCACTCATTAAGCTATTACTATGTGTCAAGAACCATATTAATGGCTTTAATTACTTATAGAAATAGGTATGACTTGAAAAAGTGATTCTAGAATAAATAATCCCTAACAAGCATCTTCTTTCAAACACATAAAGAGATATAAGTTTAATCTGTGCTGTCTTAAAAAATAAAAGCCCTTATTTTCTAACCCAGACTCAATGAATCCTCCAACTAAACTACATGACTCTAGGCAAATCGTGTATTTCCCTGAATTTTAGTTCCCCAATCTCCCCCAACTACAAAATCTTATAGTTTTTGTGAAGAATAAAAGTGACATATATAGGTGAAGTTGAATACCTTCCTTTGATGTCAGGAGTAAGCCAAGGATGCCCTCTATCACGGATTCACAAAGCAGAAAGAGAAACAGCAACAAAACTAGCCATAATAAAGAAATAAGGTATTTGCAAACACCTAACTGAAAAAAAAACGAGTATCTCCTATATGTATGTATATGTTTATAGGAAGCTACAAATCAATGAGGAAAAGCAGGCAATCCAACAGAAAAATAGGCAAAATACCCAACAAGGACTATAAAAAGCAAGATTTTTGTTTTCCATTCCCTTTTGTATTTTTTTTAAAAGGGTCTTGCTGTATTACCCATGCTAGAGTGCAGTGGTTATTCACAGGGTATGTATCACAGCACACTGCAACCTCAAACTCCTGGGCTCAAGTGATCCTCCCATCTCAGCCTCCCAAGTAGCTGGGGACGACAGATGTGCACCATCACACCCCATGTAATGTCTCACTTTTTAAAAAACACATGTCTGATTTTCACATGTATTATTTTCAGTTTTTAAATGTAAAATAAATGAAGCTATAGTGAAAAAAGGAAGGCAAAAAAGACATTAAAAGGCAACGGGCCTCTTTTTGTAATCAAGGAAATGAACAGTAAAAATTTAATGAGATCCCATTACATTACACCGTATTGCAAATGCTAAAATCTCTGACAACACTATGTGTTGCAGAGAATGTGAGGTTACTTTAATGGTAAGAGTACCTTTGGTATACACTTTGAGAAAAAGTTTGATATTATCCAATAAAGTTCACATGCACATACTTCATGACCCAGAAATTCCACTCCTAAGTCACCCTAAGAAAACATAAGCTTAGACTGCATACACAGAAGTTTTTCAAAGCAGCATTATTTAGAATAGTTAAAACCTGCATATAATCCAAATGTTCAACAGTAGAATGGATCTTCTTTCTTATATACAGTACTTCTATTATGTACCTTAAATGGATGCTCTTTGCAGTATGCAATTTATGCCTCAATAAACTTGATTTTAAAAATTTCAACAACTAAAATCACGGATGTTCCCTTTACTGACAATTCTCTTAGTATGATTCCATGTTCTTATGATGATATGCATTCAAAGCCAAGCCACTGTAATTATTTAACCAATCAATTTACAAAGTACAAGGTTCTCAATATCTCAAGTTCACTTAATCACATTTATCATGCAAACAACTGCTAAAATAATCTTCCAAAAATCCTTCTGCATTAGGGGCACCATCTGCTCTAGAATTTAAAGTGCTGCTCACAGCCTTTCCTCCCAAAAAAGAATAAAACATCTACCATTTGAATTCAAACTACTGCTCTGGTCTTATTTTTCACTACTTTCTACACATAAACAAATACCTTTCTTCAACTTCACTATTTTTCTAAACATATTTTATTTAAAATTTTCATGCCTTCTTTTCAGGCTAATTCTCTAAAACATGTACCCCTGTCTTTCACCTTAATCCCACCTATTCTTTGAGAAGTAGCTCAAAAGCTAACCTTAAGCACAGAGTCTTTTCTGAATTCCCTTTCAGGTATGTTCTCTTCACTCTCTAAACTTCTAAGTCTTCTACGTCTGATTATGTATGAAGGCTAAAAACACCATTCTCTATGTCACTCACAGGAGAATACCCGTCTCCAAGAACTCTCAGATGGTTTATACTCACACATATAAATAATTGATTACAAACAATCTACGAAAAGCTAGAAGGACGTGCTGAGCACACAATACTCACTCAACAATTGTTGTTGAAAAGAACGATTATTTACATATTGTAAATATCCAGAAAGTCACTAATATATAAGTATACAAATAAAATGGTAATCCTAATTTTTTTCTTAATAAAAGAATTTTACCTTTTCAGTTGTAAGTGGTTTTGCCGGCTTTTCTGGCTCCTTTTCTCTCTTTTTCTCTTCCTTTTTTTTTTCCTTTTCTTTCTAAAACATAGCCCAGAGTTTTGATAAGTTTACTTTTTTTTAAAGAAAGGCAACTTTTGGCTCAATTTTATTAGTATGAGTCATCATTTGAGAAAGGTAGAAATGTTCAGTAATTACAATATCAAGGTGCTACTGAAACAGAATAGTAAACACAGCAAATTCTTATTCTCATTGAGGTTGTATGTTGATGACACTAAAGAATATCTGTTAAAAAATTAAGACAGAGGTAAGACAATTTAGAACTTCTTTGATATATTAGGGTTTTTTTGTGTGTTTTTTTTTAAATGAATTAGATCCCCATTCAATAAATTCTCACTATATCCTTAATTAGGTTAGGCTTCCTTACAGCAATCATTAAGTTGAATTTTGAATGAGAAAAAAAAATAAAGTAAGTGATAGAACACACTTCCTTATTACATAAAGATAAATGATAATAGGTAAATATAAGGGGAAGACTATAAAATCAGTTTGTTTGTTTCTTAATCACAAGATACCTTAAGTCCATCATCACAGTTTTTGTTTTTTAAAAAAGGACAAATACAGTAATTTTCTTGAGAAAAAAAATTTCAAAATAGTGCTTGGGGACCACATCCAACCGACTAGTGTAAGGCAGTAGAGGTAAAGTATAAATGACATTATGATATTCACAATTTGCATTTCCAATAAAGATTAGATATAATGTTAAAAAATTAAGGATTAAAAGTAGCAACAATAAATCTTAAGAGCCAAAAGAGGAAAATGAAAAGAGATTAAACAAAGAGCATTCATCAGTCATCTAGAGGAAAGAGATAACTAGGAACTGAGAACTGAAAGTCACTGCAACTAAACATTAACCTGGCCCTTAGTTTCTTGGCAGCAAAAAAAGATAAACTGAAGAACCTAGGGAAGGCAGCATGATAAACATGCAGAACTTAGTCAAAATACCTAAAGGCTGCATTTGTACCTATACTTTTAAAATGGTGTCTGATGCAACTTCTGTCAGAGGAAATTTGCCATTTGTAAATTAGGAAAGATAATACTGGCAATTCCTAGATTATAATGTGAGAGAACTAATAAAAGTTCAAAGGGCTCTGCAACCATTCATATAAAGTTCAAAAACAGGCAAATGTATGATGTTTGAGAGTGTACACAATAGTATAAAATTATTTTAAAAAGCAAAAAAGTGATGATGATGATGATGATGATGATAAAAATCAGGATGTTAATTACCTTTAAGGAGAAGGAATGAGGTTATTTAGGAAGAGAGTCACATGGGAGCTTTCGAAGTGCTCATAACATTCAGTTTCAATATTCATTACACAGTGATAGTCTTTATAAGTATTGATTTAACTATATATATATGTATATATGCATATTTAATGTGCATTTCAGTACTAAAAAAAAAAAGGCACTAAGAACCTAGAAAGCAACTCTGCAAACTATAAAGCACTACACAAATATGACAAATATTATAATTCTAGTGTTTGCTGTATGATTTTTAAAAAAGAAAAGGAGGATGGATGTGGTGGCTCATGCCTATAATCCCAGCAGTTCGGGAAGCTGAAGGGGGTGGATGACAAGGTTAGAATAACGAGACCATCCTGGCCAACACGGTGAAACCCCTCTACTAAAAACACAAAAATTAGTCAGGCATGATGGCATGTGCCTGTCATCCCAGTTACTCAGGAAGCTGAGGCAGGAGAATCACTTGAACCAGGAGGCAGAGGTTGCAGTGAGCTGAGATCGCACCACTGCACTCCAGCCTGGGTGATAAACTCCACCCCAAAAAGAAAAAAGAAAAAAAAAGGAAAGGAAAATCTTTCATCTTAGTACAAAATTTTTTAAAAAATTCATAGCAAAGATCTTCACATTTGGGGCATGAATAAGCAATGTCTTCAATTGCAATTTTAAGAACAGGGAAATTCTAAAGGATTTATCTTTTTCACCTTTTCTTTTATTAGCCATTAATAAAAGGCAATGGGTGTTGTAATAGTAATTCGCCAATTACTGAAAGTAGAGGACAAAGCTAACTAACTGTTGGTATATTGCTTTGCAACAAAAGAATATATGGGTAGATTGCCGGGCGTGGTGGCTCAAGCTTGTAATCCCAGCACTTTGGGAGGCCGAGGCGGGTGGATCACAAGGTCAAGAGATCGAGACCATCCTGGTCAACATAGTGAAACCCCGTCTCTACTAAAAATACAAAAAATTAGCTGGGCATGGTGGCACGTGCCTGTAATCCCAGCTACTCAGGAGGCTGAGGCAGGAGAATTGCCTGAACCCAGGAGGCGGAGGTTGCGGTGAGCCGAGATTGCGCCATTGCACTCCAGCCTGGGTAACAAGAGTGAAACTCTGTCTCAAAAAAAAAAAAAAAAAAAAGAATATATGGGTAGAATTTCCAGAATCTGGACAGTTTATATCTCAGGCCCCCTAGACTAGGATTCTCTAAAGTTATTTGTTTCAATAATGCTTTTCAGAAACAGGATAAAAGTCAACATAAAGTTGAACTTGTGGTAAAACCTGAAGAGTAATCTATATGCTTTAGTTACCAGAAGAGCATATGTCAATAGTGACATTTTCCCTTGAAAATTAAGTATATTAACACAGCCTAGCACAGACAGAAAACCATCTAAAAGGTTGGGATATTTCTCATAAAAGATCTTCGTATCTACTCAAGTGCCTGGGCTTTAAACTGGAAATAAGGAAGATGTAACCCTTTAAGAATAACTAGAAACATTACCTATTGCTGACTCAACCGTTTCCCAAATCAAAACTTTCATTTCCAAAACACAACAAGCACTTATTAAGTGCTTTCTGTGGGCCAGGTGGTAAGTACCTTATTGTCTAATTTAATCTTTGCAACAACTATCTGAAATAAAAAGTTTACCTACTGTCATCTTACAAATGGAGAAACAAAATCTTACGAAGTAATGCCCAAAGCAACAGTTAATCAAAGCTCGTGGTAGGACTGAGGGACTATGGAGCCCAGCTTTCAAGTTTCACTACTCACTGTGGTCCAGTGGAGCTTTGCTATTTATTATTGCTGTTATTATTTCTTGCAGTAACAGCTAATATTTTATGAAGCCTTACTATGAGCCAGGCACTATTTTGGCTCTTAATCCTCACAACTTTAGGAATTTAGTAATACCATCCCCATTTTATATGTAAAGAATAAATAAGATGTGCAAAAATCTTACATATATTACAAAACATTTTCTTATATTTTTAGTAAACTTTGGTGCAGAAAGCAATGTGACAGAACATTCTCATTACTATACTGAGACTGAGGCCAGGCATAGTGGCTCATGCCTGTAATCTAGGCACTTTGGGAAGCTGAGACAGGCAGATCACCTGAGGTCAGAAATTCAAGTCCAGCATGACCAACATGGTGAAATCCTGTCTCTACTAAAAATACAAATATTAGCCAGGTGTGGTGGCGCAAGCCTGTAATCTCAACTACTTGGGAGGCTGAGGCAGGAGAATCACTTGAACAGGTCAGGCAGAGGTTGTAGTGAGCCTAGACCATGCCATTGCTCTCCAGCCTGGGCAACAAGAACGAAACTTCATCTCAAAAACATAAAGAAAAATATGTTGAGAATGAGTTGCTTCCTAACCTCCCAGAACTATTAGTTATTGCTATGATCTGAATGTTTGTGTCCACCCCAAAATTAATATGTAAAAATCTAATCCGCAGTGTGATTGCATTAGAAGGTTGGGCCTTTGCATTAGGTCATAAGGATGAAACCTTCATGAATGGGATTCACACCCCTATTAAAAAAAAAAAAACGCCCCAGAAAGATTTCCTGCCCTTTCCCACTATATGAGGGCACAAAGATACACCATTTTATGAACCAGAAAGGGGGCCCTTCACAAGATATGGAACCTGCTGGAGACTTGATCTTGGTCTTTCCAGTCTCCAGAACTATGAGAAATAAATTTTTGTTGTTTATAAGCTACTCAATCTATAGTATATTGTTACAGCAGCCAGCACAGGCAAAGACAGTTATTTCTCAAGAATGCCATTGCAGAAAAAATAAATAAATAAATAAATAAATAAAAAGAATGCCATTGCGTCATGAGTAGAAAAGAAGTTTAACATCCTAAACACCATGACTGGTGTACACAGATGAAATAAATAAAAACAAATCAAATTCACCAGCTACAGTTGCCAGAGGGAGAGCATGACTTGATATTCTTTAACACTGGAATTCAGCTGTAAAAATACAGCTGTTACCTACTCTGATTCTGGCAGTGGTATCAGGATACAGGCTTTGAAGTAATATTAACAGTACGGGCTCTAAACTCATCATGCAGTTTGACCCACAGATGACTGCCATCCATAGAATCAAAAGCTGCTGAAAGATCAAAGAGTACTGTGAAAACCTAAGTTGTTTTAAACCATTTTCTCAGCGAGAACAAAATATTACAGTGCTTTGTATTTTAAAACAGTTCTTGAAACCTGGTAGCTATATGCATAAGTGACATAGTGAAATGGCTGACCTCCTGTGCAAGAAAACTGGTTAAACATTCAAGTCCAATAAGATGGAGGAAAGTACATACTGGGTTCATTATAATCAAATTATATTTGAGTGACTTAAAGAAAGACATAGGGCTGGGCACAGTGGCTCACACCTGTAATCACAACACTTTGGGAAGCCAAGGTGGGTGGATCACCTGAGGTTGGGAGTTCAAGATTAGCCTGACCAACATGGAGAAGCCTCGTCTCTACTAAAAATACAAAATTAGCCGGGTGTGGTGGTGCATGCCTGTAATCCCAGCTACTCAGGAGGCTGAGGCAGGAGAATAGCTTGAACCTGGGAGGCAGAGGTTGCAGTGAGCCAGGATCACGCCATTGCACTCCAACCTGGACAACAAGAGTGAAACTCTGTCTCAAAAATAAATAAATAAATAAATAAATAAATAAATAAATAAAGACATAGTCTCCAAAAATTTTAAGCACGCTCTCTCTCTCGCTCTCTCTCTCTCTCTCTCTCTCACTACTCTCCTCTCCTCTTCTTTCCCCCAGGCCTAAACCTGTATATCCAACCATGTACTAAATACCTCAATGTTCCACAGTGACGTCATACATAACACATCCAACTTTTAATTCACCTCTTTCCTTTTCTGCTCAAACCTGTTACTTCTTTTCAGCTTGTATCCTTATCTCACTAACTGGCACCATCATCTACTAAGATGCTCAAGATAAAAAGTGAAAGTCACAAAACTTTCCAAAGCACCTCCATAAGGTATCAATTACTAAACCCCATGGACTATACCTTCTTAAGATCTCTCAAAATTACACTCTTTTTCATTCCCTCTGTTCCTACTTTGGAGCATGTCCCCCTCCTTTTATTCCCGGATTAAAATAATAGTTTCTCAAGTCTTTTCCTCACCTATCATCATAAAATTCACTCCCCATGGAGCCTGAAAAGCAGTGTTACAACATAAAAATCTGATCCTGTCACACCGTACCCACTCCCTAATGCTTGCAACTCATCATTTAAGTGCCTGGGCCTTCAGAATCAAACTCCTTCACGAGAAAGAGAGGAGCCTTGCCATTCTACTTGTATTTCAGCCATGCCATTCTACCTGCAACTCCACAAAAACTGTACTTTGCCCATATGTTTTTTCACAGGCTGGTTTCTCTATCTAGAATGCTTCCCAATCCTTCCTTATGTCTAATGCTTATTTAAAGCATAAGATATACCCAAATGATGCCTCCTGTATTAACTGCAGTATAGTGAGTGTACATCAATTACAGCTCATAATATATTGTATTATAAACTGCTATATAGTTATCTGTTTTCTTGCCTTAGACTGTAAGTTCTAGGAGGGCAGGGACTGTATCTTGTCTTTGTATATCACACATCTAGCAAACCATTTATCATTTATTCCATATCTGTGGGAAAAATGATAGTTGAAAGAATGCCTCAAACTTATTAAGGCCAATGTAACAAAAACAAATAGAGTCAAATATTTGTAGAGGTGACTTTAAAAATACACAGTGGTAGTATCTGCATCCTAATCACTTCCACCAGAAATGCATTCTAACAGTTGTCATTGATGATTCTGAACTCATGATCCCTTAATACACACATTTTATTTGTACAATGGTTACTATTGCTTAAAAAAAGAAACTTGACAATAACTTTCTTTAACTTAAATGTAGTATTTAATGATAAATTAGCTAAAGCTAAAGCTTTTAACAACAGAATCATAGAAAGAAAAGATTTTTTTTAAAGTTCCTATAAGTATAAAATAATAATGGGCACAACAATAAAAAACTGATTGCTTCTTAACTGTTGAGATATAGTCATGGCACCAATAAATCAGTCATTCCAAAATTAAATATAGATTTAAAGTTCTTTAATCATACCTGTGGTATAAAAAATATTCTGCAAATAGCTGTATTAGTTCTAGGGAATCACTCAAAATATAAACAACTATTATGGTGTTCCCAAATGACACACTATGAAATAAAGTTAATTTACCATTTAATACTACATAATCTATCTGGTTAAAACATTACCATACCTCCAATTTATTTTTGTCAACAGCAGCTTGCAGAGAAGGAGAGGACACCAAAGGCTGAAGAGGAGCATCAGAGGAGGAAATCTGTAGAGTGCAGATGAAAAATGAGGAGAAGAAAAAAACAGAAAGAAGGTAATGAGAATTGACAGGTACAGGAAAGAAAAAAACCCTGTATATTTTTGAGATATAGAAGCACTTAGAGGCATATTAATAAAGGAAAACAATGCATCAAGAAAGAAGTACTGCTTTTTTAAAAATTTCAATTTGAAATTTATGAAAGATTTTAGTACTAACATATTATTTAAAATGGATTTTACTAGAATATAAAATTTTAAATGTAGTCAGATAAGATCATACTAAAATATCTTCCATTTTTTTAAAAAAAGGTCAAAGCTGAGCCTTAAAGCCTCGTTTAAAACTGGTTATGGAAAATAATTAATTTTCTCTCACAGTTCATCTTTAATCATTGTTACTACTGAAATACGAATGCTCTGAAGCATGAGGAACATTGTCCAAAGTAGTAGAAAAGCAAAAATGAGTTTTTGTTTTTACTTATAATAACTTTTAAGAATGAAAAATAAAATGGAGCTGAAATAGTGAAAGTTAATTAAAATTTAAATCAACTGTTTAAGAAAATACAAAAAAAGCTGAGAAAAAAGAGTGGATTAATGTAACAGCTGAGCAGCAGACTTATTATAAAGTAATTTATACACTTCCTTCTTTAAGAGCAGCAGGCTAACACCATTTCCAGTGCTGTACTTGCTGAATTACCCCAAAGCATTACGAGAGTTATATATGCAGCAGAGGCAATTTATACACAAAAATGGGCTTCATCTAAAAGCTTTTCTCACACATCTTCCTGCCCAATTTCTACATGCGTAGTTGATCACTTTAATGGAAGTATTATCTTCCTGCTCTCTTTACTGCCAAAATATAACAGAAATACATTTTAAAAATGCATAGTAGATCTTTGAGGTCATAAAACTGACATCTCTATATTGCCCTATAATATCAATAGTGCCTATGAGGAATTTTTAAAATTAAAAGGTGCTATTACAGGTTAGGTCATTATGTAATGTCAAAATAACACTGCAAGATGACAAGTCCTCCCTCAATCTGCTTGTTATTAAGTTAGTTATGGCAGTAATTCTTGAATCACAATACAAGACTATAAACTTTAGGGGATTTTTTTTCCTTGCTTGCACACTGTTGGCTCTGTTATAACTGTGTAAGCTAGCCACTTAATGAGTATTCATGCAAGTTACACAGGAGAGAAAATAAACACCACAAGAAAATGTAGATCTTCCATTTAAAAAAAAAAAAAAAAAGGCCAAAGCTGAGACTTATAGCCTGGCTTAAAACTGGTTTGTCCTATTGGATATTTACTTGCTAGAAATCTTTAATTACCACTTTATATAGAAAATAAGAATAAAGCACTTTGGAAGGCTGAGGTAGGGAGATCACTTGAGGTCAGGAGTTTAAGACCACTTTGGCCAACATGGTGAACCCCATCTCCACTAAAAATACAAAAACAGGCCAGACATGTATGCCTGTAATCCCAGCTACTTGGGAGGCTGTGGCAGAAGAATCACTTGAACCTAGAAGGCGGAGGCTGCAGTGAGCCAAGATTGCACCAAGGCATTCCAGCTGAGGAAACAGAGCGAGACTCTGTCAAAAAAAAAAAAAAGAATAAAAAGCCATAAGATCACTTAAACAAGAAGACAGCTGTATCATAAAGTTCATGAAAAGCAGAACAAAAATATAAAAGGAGAATATGGGCAGTGAGTATGTCAAAAGTTACTATTCCTTAGAAACTAGCAAGATAATTCATTGTACAAGTGCTTATCCTTCTTGTGAGAAGATGATAAGCTGATCTGGCCAGTGTAAAACTCAGTGGCAGAAATACAAAATTCAAATCAATAAATATTAGTAATTTAATAAAAAAAAATTTTTTTCAGACAGGGTCTCACTCCATCACCCAGGCTGGAGTACAGTGTGAAGATCATCGCTCACTATAACCTTAAATTCTGGACTCAATTAAAAACCTTTTTTATTGCAACCATATTTTTTTCTGTTTTTAAGACAGTCCTTCTATGTTGCCTAGGCTAGACTCAAACTCTTGGGCTCAAGCAATCTTCCTGCCTCTTACCTCCTGAATAGCTGGGATTACAGGGGCACATCATATTTTAATACAAAAAAGAAAAAGGAAAAATGCTTCAATACTATGTTCCAGGCAGGAAAGAAAACAGAAGCTTATTCAAGAAGAAAGATATCTGAAAAGTCAAGGGATAGATGAACAAGTGAATCAATAACAAATCAGAAACATAATAGAAGAAAGAAGGCACAAAAGAGTACACAGCGTATCAAACTACTCACAGAAAACTCTAGGAAATTTAGCTATGGTGATTTTTTAAAAAATGAGATCAGTCACCAAGGCCATGGTTGGGAGCTGACTAGCAAGGAGCACAAAGGAACTTTTTGGAGTGACAGAAAAGTTCTGTATCTTGATTGTGGAGCTAGTGGTTACACAGGGATATGTATTTGTCAAAACTCATTGAACAGTATCTTAAAATATCTACTTTTTATTGTATATGAATTATATTTTGATAAAATTATTTAAAGTCATATTAGCAGGGTAATAGTATTATGTGAGCAAGGAATAAAGAAATAGAAATCAACATACTGACAACTGGAAGCAAGTGACAGTACAGACACAGGGGTAGATGAGGGAAGAAAAAAGGTCAGTGAAAAAGAGGAAAGAAATACGGAGACATGAAAAACTAGGTACTCCAGTCTTCTTTCTAAATCTCTCAAAACCATCCACTTCTAATCACCTCCACCAACTACCCTAGTAGGAAATCACCAGTATCCATCTTCTGGATCAGTCCTCCTAATTGGTCTCCTTGCCCCAAATCTTGCCCTCTCCAAATCCATTCTCAATACCAGGTCATTCTCAAATTAAATCTGACCACTACATATCACTGCTTAGAAGGCCTGAATAGTTTATATACATTATGCAACCACAGAGTCCAAATTCCTTAATCAGGCCACAAGTGTCATCTACGTTATCTCCCTATTTCTCCCTCCTCTAGTTATACTCATATATACTTTGGCCAGCCAGAGACGACTCCCTTCTGTTTTCGGTTCTCTAGTCTGCTTCTCTGAACTCTAGGGGCCTTTCCTCTTGCTTCTACTTCAGAAACCCAAGCTTTTATTAGTTCCTACCCATCCTTTAATTTTGAGTTAACACTGCCCGCTCTGGGAATTATTCAAAGTATACCTTTATCTCTTTATAGAGCCTGGAGTAAGCACCTCCTATAATATTTTCCTATTATGTGGGTGTTATCACATGTTGTCTTAAAAAGATCTGGTTACTTATCAGTATTCTTTGTTAAACCAAAGTTCTCTAAGGCAGATATTATTTCTATTCTGTTCACCATCTTTAGCACCTGACATTCAACAGATCTTAATGAATATTGTCAACTGCTACAGGAAAAGCGGAGTAAGAAAGCATCTCAAAGGGAGAACCAAAAGGAGGCTCAATCTCAGCAATTACTGTTCTTTGAAAGTTCACTGGCTTGCTAACATACTTTTTTGAAATCCCATAGAAGTTATTCATATTTACTTTCAAATTTAGAATTTTGTAACTAGATGTTAATTCCATTTCACTGGCTCTTAGCACATATAAAGCATAAGACTCTGATGTTAGAAAATTTTGCTAGAAATTCGTGGTGTCAGTGAATTCAGTAGTCATATTTAAATGTTTTCCCAATTCCCACCCACACCTTCTATCCATGAGATAATATGTGGTAGGAATCCAGTAAAGACATTCTTCAGAAATAAAATGAATTTAAAAGTCCTTCCTTCAATTATTCTTAAGCTCAGATGTTCTTCTTTAGGCCACCATCAAAGTAACCTATATGTGAAAAAAAATCCCAGAACAGTGTAATTGTATAAACCTACCTCATGCAAAAGAAAAAGTGACCATGCAAAACAAGTTCCTGACTCCCATCTGCAAGGATAAAATGAATAAACACCCTTTGAAAAGGTATGAAGTAACTGAAGGCCATAAGGCATAATGTTTAATATTTTCTTGATGAATTTTTTGAAATCTTTGCTACTACCTCCCTTTTAAACAAAATAATGCCATGAAAATTAAATCTGGCAGTCCGAAACACTGAAAAAGATACAGTCACTGAAAAATGTCTTACAGATTAATTGCTGGCAATGGATTACTTCAATCTCATTTTGGAAATTCCTGGGTATGTTTTCTATCCATATTCCTGGATATGGAAATTTTATCACAGCAATTCTCAAATAGCTGTCTCATGAGCTTTTAGTATACCATGAAGTTCAAGTTTTTCAGAAGTCTAGTAATCATTTTAAATATATGATTTCCAATGTCTTTTGCATTCCATGGCATGTCTTAGATAAAAAAAGCTGAAAACATACACATTTACTAAATTAGTAGAAAACCCATATAAAACACGCCATCAATTAAATTCATCAGTAGGAGGGTTAAAGGACACTGAAAACTTGACCAAGTAACCATAGCTACAAAGTGTGTAGAAGATGCCTAAATCTTAGTAATAACAGTTTACTTTAATATCTTTGGCCAAGTCAGTAAGAAATATGTAGAATTCTAGAAAATTTTTAAAAATTTAGGTCCTTTACCTGCTCTATTGGTGTATCCCATAATTAAAGGGCTGATTAAAATGTGGAGAGATTAATAAAACAGAACTCAAGCCAAAATATTTCCCATGCTATAAAGTCTTATAATTAAGTTCAAGTATTCATTTTTCTTAATTATCTACCTGCTTACAGTCATTTGCTGCCATCACAGTAGTTTATATTATAAGCAGTTATATGCAAGGCACCCTACTAAGAATATACTTCACCTTAATTCTTGCAGCAATACTATGAAATTCGGACACTATGACATCCCTGTTCCACAGAAGAGGAAGCAAATGGTAATGAAAGGAAGTAACAAAGAAAACCAAGTAGAAACGATGTTCTTTTACACTAATCCCAACTCATTAGCTGAAGAGAGACAGAGCCGGGATGGGGCAGGGAAAGAGGGAAAA